TTGCTCCTATTTCAAGTTGTGATTAACAAGTCTGACGTCTGAATAAACGTGAATAATCAATTTGGAGATTCCAAACAAAGATACTCTACCCTGTTGCTACGTTCAACATTATCATCCTATATCACTACTAAAGTAGGCGGATGGATTATTGACAAAAAATGTACATTAACAAACTGTGTTTTAGATGGATTTTCTACCTTCAAATCAACCACATTGGGACAACTCGACTTCACAAAATCTTTTAGAGTAATGATATCAACACCTTCATTCTTTATCAAAAATAATTATAATGTGGAGTGCTGAAACTGTTAGAATGGACTATTTAAAGGGGACCTATCATGCAAAATACAAAAGTATGGGATATGTGTCCCCGGTGTTCCAGGGAACTCACCAAGTGTCAGAAAACACAACCCTCTCTATTTACCTCCATACCCAAATCTCTAAAAAAGGGGCTGCAACGGATCTGATACAGACTGATTCAGATTTGAACACTGTCCTGACGTCATGTCGGTGGCGCTAAGGCTATTGGGCCAACTCTCCACCTATCAGGGGAATTTGGGGTTGGGCCACGGCCGGCCATTGCCGCTCGTTAGTGCTGGAGATGCTGTAGTACATATGCCAGGCCTGTAAGTGGTGCTGTAGTCTGCCACAAAAGCAGCGAAGAAGACTTCCCGCGCATGGTTGCCCTTCTGTTTATTCTCCGCTGTGGCTCTTTTTCTCCCTCCCAGAGGCAAGCGTTTGCTCCCGCTGCTGTAATTACATTACATTACATTGCATTTAGCTGACGCTTTTATCCAGAGCGACTTACAGTAAGTACATTCGACCAGGAAGATACAACCTTGAAGAAAACAGAATAATATATAAGTACATCAGGTTTCATAGAGCCAAACATTTCAAGTGCTGCTCAACTGGCTTTAGATAAGCCAGTCCTTTATTAGTATATAAGTGCTTTGTTAGCAATTCTTTGTAAGTAATTATATCGCTCGAAGTGGAGTCGAAAGAGATTAGTTCAGTCTGCGCCGGAAGATGTGCAAGCTATCTGCTGTCCTGATTTCAATGGGGAGCTCATTCCACCATTTTGGAGCCATAATTCAATGCAATCCCTACCCGTCGAGGCAAGCACTGTAATTCTCTCCGGTTAGTCCACCAGCAGATGACAAACACCCAAACGCCTCTTCCAAGGAACGAGGGGACCGTGCGGCAGAGTTTCAGTTTTTTCAGGTTTTCTTTCGCTGGTCAAGATGTCCGTTAAAGTTTAAATCTTCCGGACAAAATTAGAAAAGTGCCGGTCAGAGGTCTTCTTTGTTATTTATTGAGCTTTAAAACAAATGAATAACGACTCTATATAATAATATAACAAAACACGAAGGACGGAGATCTATTTTTCTCCCCCTCTTCTGACTTGATCAGAGCACGCTCCCCTCTCCTGCAGGGGGGCGTGGTCAGCTGCAGCTCACAGAATCAGCCCCCTGCAAAAACAGGGCTGGAGAACAGCAAATAGAGCGAAATGAGGCATGGCTAAAATGCATGATCTGTTTGGTATTTTGAAAACAGAAACGTATAAATATACATTATATAGGTACGGCCCTACAATATATAATTTAAATATAGCATGATAGGTGTCCAGTTAAAGAAAAAACTCTACGTTGGTTGTCCACCTGATAGACACCTAGGATGATTTAAGCCCGCTGTGCATTCATTGAAAAAAGCCAAACCAGAAGACAAAGAACAAACAATCATATATTAATAGATACAATGTCTGTTAGTTTGATGTTGTTTTTTAAGTTAAAGATTTCCTGAAAAACCCCTTTATAACATACACTGTATGACCGACAATGCTACAGACTCATTTGAGCATCTTTTAGCGCCAACCATCTTTGGTTTCCACCCAACCACAAACTGTGAATACCTAAACGCCCAGAAAGCTAACAACTCAACATCAGACAGCAGACCCAAACCCTACCATTGCTCAGTGGTTAGCATCAGTTGAGTATT